CTTACAAACAGGTCCCGGCAAAGACACCTTTGGCCGCGTGCGAGCGCCTCCTCAGTAACAGGCCTCCGGGGGAATTGGATGCGGAGGCGGCCAATCCTACCTGGAAGATAGGGGTATTGCACACCCCTAAGGAGTTTGTGGACCGTGCTCTCACCGCAAAGCATCCGGCTGACTCGGCAAACCCCTTGTCCCCACACTTTCTGGAAGCCCTTAATGTGGTGATGTCTAGCTCGCCTGTCCACCTTGAACTCAAAAGGAAGCTCGCCATCGCTAAAGCCGAAATTCTGGCAAAGCAGCTGGCCCCAAAAGAGAAGCTTAGGCATGACAAGCTTCCTGAGCACATGAAGGGGGTCCTGGCAAACAAGAACATCTCTCTGTTTGAGGCCCTGCTTCGCCAATACGACTTTTGGGATTTAGGGGTGGTTAGTATCCTTGAGGAAGGGGTCAACCTTATAGGTTTCCAGGAGACGCCGGATTGTTACCCTCGCAAGGTGGTGCCGGCAACAATCTCCCCAGAGGAGTTTCGTAGCTCTGCTGTGTGGCGAAGGAAATGCCTGACCGGCTCCGCTGTTCGCGAGACCGATGCTGCACAGCTGGCCCANNCATCTGCAGCAAGCATGCACTGAAGAGGTGGAACTGGGTTTCATGCTAGGCCCTTACTCAGAAGATCAGGTGACCCAGCATTTTGGACATTCGAGTTGGTCTTGTATACGCCGCTTTGTGCTTGAGCAGAAACATGGCAAGCTTAGACCCATCGACGATGCCAAGGAGGGCCTGATCAACAGCGCAAACACGACGACGATGCGACTCGACTTGGAAGACTCCGATTACGTTGCAGCAATGATACTTGAGGTAGCGCGCAGGTGCAAGTCGGGCAAGGACGAGCACGGGCGGGGCCCATGGGTTGGCCGCTGCCTAGACTTGTCGAAGGCCTACAAACAGTTGTGTGTCTCGGAGCGAGACGCCGACGTCTCGGTAATCTTCTTCAAGGGCGAGGACGGCATCCCGAAATATTACATAAGCCGCTCCCTGCAGTTCGGGTGCACTGCATCGGTCTATGCATTCAACCGTGTATCAAAGGCCCTCTCCTTCTTGATGTGCAAAATGCTGCACATACCAAGTTCAGTTTACTTCGACGACTTCCCGATGTTCTCGCCAGACTCGACGAAAGCTTCCGCTACATGGGCGGCCACCGCCCTGCTGGACCTCCTTGGGTGGGACCATGCCCGAGTGGGGCAGGACTCCAAGGGGATCCCTTTCGAAAGTTCGTTTGACGTGTTGGGAATGACTGTGCACCTGGAAAAGGTGCACCAAGGGGAGGTTGTTCTTGAAAACAAGAAGGGCAGAATCGACCAGCTGGCAGAGCTTTTCAAAGGTTTCCATGATCGGCAAGCCATAACGGTTCACGAGGCCCAGGTGGCCCACGGCCTCCTCAACTTCTCGGCGGGCTTCGTCAATGGAAGGGCTTT